ATTCCAGGAGTTGAAGTCAAAACATCTTAAAGTTGCCAAGATTGAGAAACACTGGGGTAGAGAGAAACACTGCTAGGTTTCAAGATTCTGTTATTCTATTTTACTACAATATATTAGCTGTGTTACTTTAGGGTGTTACTCACTCTTTGTGTAAAGAAATGTACAGCTAAAGTTGGGAAGGGTAAGGAATGGACAAGCAACCAGGGAAAGAAAGGAATGAATTTTTAAGGCAGAAAAGAAGATGAAAGTGTGAGAAATTCAAAATAAACCCAGCTGAATTTTGTTTTGCCACAAGATCACGTAGAACACTCCTTCTCAACCTTGGAAATTTTAAGATATCCGAACTTCAGTTTCAACAATTCAATAACCAGACATGTTGTTGAATTCCAGGAGTTGAAGTCAAAACATCTTAAAGTTGCCAAGGTTGATAAACACTGGGGTAGAGAGAAATACTGATAGGTTTCAAGATGCTGTTATTCTATTTTACTACAATAAAGAGCATCCGCTGGAATTTCGAACATGCCTTTTTAAATATTAGACTAACTCAAAGAGCAATTTACAATATGAAGATCGTAAGTGTGGTCTGTCTGTCAGGATTGAACTTTCCAAGTTGTTAAATGAATCCTGTTTTCCACATTGAGTTGGCTTATTGGAAGCCAGCTGGAAAAGTCACACATGGCAAACACATGAAGATGGGATGCTGCAACCATTGTAAATACATGCTGATTGCCAAGTGCTTGAATGTTGATCATGTGAGGATGATGTGATGGTTATAAGTGTGAGGACCAGTCATAAGTCACTCTTTTCAGTGACCTCCTAATTTTGAACAGTCATTAAATGAATGGTTATGAGTCAAGGACTATCTGTACTTAAAACTTGCAAAAATAAATATATGGTGTATTACCCAGAATACTGGTGGGCCCAGGTTTTCTTCCCTCCATATCTTTCATGGCCTCTACATAGCATCTTGCCAGCTCCTGGAACAAGGACTCTCCAGTCTTCCCTATGCGAAAAAGATAACACAAGAGAACCATTTTTATTTTTAACTCTGAGACTCTGCTGAGGACTTATCTTGATGCAGTTTATCATTAACAGAAGCTTTCCTATATCCAGGGATCTTCTGAAGAACCCTTTCCCTGTAATACGTATTTCTTTTGTTGACAATGCAGATTGTAGAGGTAAAACTTGTAGGCCAGCCAAACTTTACCGCATCCAATTGAGAAAGGTTGCTGAGAAAAACATCTGTGTTATTACTGCTAAGAATATGAGCCTTCATACCTCAACACTGTCTTGAATCACCCACCTTAAGAGTGTGAGAACCCTAAAATGATGTGAGCTACACAAAGACACAAATGTCAAAAAAGCAGCTATATAAAACTGAACAAAGAACTAAAAAAATGAAATGATACTATAATCCCAAAATCTAAATTCAGAAAGCTTGTACCATTAGTTGCAAGCCAGTATCCTAGGAATGTCTGTTTAAGTCCTATGACCCAGTTACTCCAATTTGTTTCAGGTAGCTACTGTTCCTATTGACCATGTCCATTTTGACTAATTGGTAAGAGTACAGAAGTAGTCTGCCACTATTATCTTCTGACTTCTAGTCATCTAGGTCAGTAGTCACCAACTTTTGCAGCTTGATAGCTCAGCTGGAGGTAGGGAAATGGGCTGTGCGAGTGGTGGGCTGACGTGCACATGCGTTCAGCTTGACTTGTATGAGCAGTGGGCCAGTGCATACAATCAAGGACACACAGCATGACTGCAAGTCGAGCTGCATGCACGCACCTTTGTGTGCTGGCCTATGTCCTGGTTGCGAATAGGCCTCAGCCCAGCAGTGGGCTGCAGCCCAGGGATTGGTGACTCCTGATCTAGTCACTGTTTCTTAACCTCAGCAACTTTAAGGAGGGTGGCTGGAGAATTCTGTGAATTGAAGTCCACCCATGCAAAGTAGCTGAGGTTAAGAAATGCTAATCTAGGCTGTAACCCTGGTATTTCCTGCTATTCGCCTAGCTGAGTACTTATATCCTCCTTACTTTTTTCAACATCAGGCAAGGAATTAAAATGGTGATCGATTGCCACTGCTGGTTAAAAAGCTGGAGTTGCTACTATTAGATAAGTCCTGCAGGGCCTTCTAGGATAAGAGACAGATGCACCTGGGAACATTTTACCAATAAATTGTATAAACCACCAACTCTTATAAAGTGTCATAATATGAGTATTATTTGGAGGTGGGGAAAACCAAAATTTGCAAAATAAGACTACAGGGCTGCTCATTGCTTCCAACTACTCACCTGTAGCAAGGGCCTCAGCAGTCGCCAGGTGCAGCACAGTGTCATCACTGACTGGCCAATCAGGAAGAATTACATGTATCTTGCCAAGTCCCCCCATTTCCTGGAGCTCTTGGTGGATCTGGGGCCCCGAAGTACAATATTCCCAGCGCTGGTTGCGATATCCAAGGGCATCACCAACTCCAGAAAGCACCATGGCTGCACGATAGGCTTCTTGGGAGGGAGTACAGTAGCTACAGGAAAAAATATATTACAAAAGGCAGCACCCACATACACACACACTGTAAAACCTTCCCATGCATGTGTTGCAACATACTGAAATGTATTTAAAAAATATCCTTCTGAAATGTGCAACTTGTATTAATTCACTAGGATCTATTAGCTGAAGTTACATATTCCGTCCCGTTTCCCCAACTAAACTGGCCAGTCCTTTGGAAGGTACACATTTAGTGGAATTAGTATTTTGAAACCAGCATGCCATGATTGCACCAGGGTTAACCTGAAATTTGCATGCACAAAATAAAAATTATAATTTACACAAAATAATAGTTTGCACAAAATAAAATACATTAAAAGACTCTATGCTGTAATCTCAGCAGCTCTTTATTCAGCTTGATATTTTATTAGCAGTTATAGATCAGAGTAATAAAAATGGGAAAGTTGCTATATACAAGGAAGCTTAGACATTAGCTTAAACTGAAGGTGTGCTGTACAGGTAGTTCTTGACATACAATCACAACTACGACCAGAATTTCCATTGCTAAGCAAGGCAATTGTTAAATAAATTGCCTCCAATTTTTACAAAAAAAAAATTTTTTTTTTGCCATGATTTGGTAAATCACAGCACTTGTTATGTCAATCATATGATTGTTAAGCAAATCCAGCTTTCCCCATTGACTTGCTAGGGGGAGGCCAGCTAAAAAGGTCACAAATAGTGATCACTGACCCTAGGATGTTGCAACCATTGTGAACACATACTAGTTGCCAAAAATCCAAATTTTGATCACATGATTGTAGGACTGCTGTAGAAATTATAAGTGCAAAGACATGTTGTAGGTCACCTTTTTCACTACCATTGTAAATCTGAACAGTTGCTAAACAAATGGCTCGAAGGCTACCTGTAGTAACTTTCCAGTAAGAATTTAACTACCTAATTTTGTGGCTGATCTCTGAAAGCTGCATAAAAACACCCTCCAAATCAAGATCCTGTAACAGCAAAACCACATTGTGGTACTTCTGCCAAAGAGAGCATCCATCAAACAACCAGCAGAGAAGCTCAATTTAAGGAAGGTTTTAGAATAATTTGGAATCTGGAAAGTTCGCAACTGTGATCCTATGGAAACTTACACAAGAGAAAGCCCACTGCAGAGCGTGGAGTTTTAAAAAAGAGCTCCATTCTACTGATGTACAGCGCCGCTTTCACAGGCTTAATAGGATGCCCTTGTATTACATCTATTACGATAGCAAGTTCCCTAAGCAAGAATGCTACCTGCTGGAGAAAGCGATCTGAAGCTAGTGATATTGCTGCGGTCTGGGAGGCGCGATATGAGCCGTTAGCGGATTCTCACGCCCTTTCTCCTAAAAGAACCGCGAAAGAACCACATTGCAAAAAAAAAAAAAAAGGTAAGGAAACGGAAGCCGAGGAATCAGATGAGAAGGTAAAAAGGAGGATCTGGCGGACGACGCGCTCTTAAAGCAATTGCCCTGCAGAGAAAAGCCACAGGAATCGAACACATTTGCATGTTTATAGAATTCTTTATTGGCCAAGTGTGAACACAAGGAATTTGTCTCCAGTGCTCTCAGTGTACGTACAAGCAACTAGTGATAAATCATAAGACTAAAACACAATCATAAGATACAACGCAATGATTGTTAGAGGATACTAAATAAGCAATCAATATAAATCAATGATTATTGATTGATTATTAATGATTGATTACTGCTTATTAACAGGCGAAGTAGAGGGGGTGCGAACAACTGCTTACGAGCCATCCATGACTACGGGGAGGGAGGGGGCGATCGCTGTGTCTTCGTCCGTCCGACTTTGAAAAACTACTCTCCAGGCGACGGGCTGATCCTATCCTCTCCACTCGTCCAATTGGAGGACTTTAAACAGAAAGAGCCTACAAATCCGTTCCCCCCTCCCCTGCTCCGCAACCGTGTTGGGCCTGTCCGTCCCCGCTCCCCGCCCTCTGGCAGCGCTTTGGTGAGATTTCATGTCGCTGCCCGAAAGGTTTTTCTGTTTATAACTCATTGATTTTCGCATCACGTAAGATGGACGTGCAGAGAAGAGGCTCAGGGGATTGGTTTGTTCAGTGGTCTGCAACTTTAAGACTTGTGGACTTCAACTCCCAGAATTCCTCAGCAAAGCTGGCTGAGGAATTCTGGGAGTTGAAGTCCACAAGTTGAGGTTGGAGAACCCTGTCCTAACAGATCTCTAGGATTTCTAGATTCCACAGGCTGGTTGCAGAGGAAAGAGAGGCTAGATCGGTGTTCCTCAAACTCAGCACCTTTAAAGTAAAGGTAGCTCTCTACTTACAACAGTTCATTCAAAGTTACAATGGCAATGAAAAAGGTGACTTGAGGCCATTTTTCACACTGGCAACTGTTGTGGCATTCCCATAGTTACGTAATCAAAATCCAGATACTTGGCAAATGGCTCGTGCTTTTGATGGTTGCAGTGTCCCAGGGTCCATGTGGTTGCCATTTTGAGACCTTCTCACAAGTCAATGGGGAAGTCAGATTCACTTAACAGTGTTACTAATTTAACTACTGCGCTTAACTGTGGCAAGAAAGGTGGTAGGGTGGGGCAAAACTCAGGTAACAAATGTCTCACTTAGAAACAAATTTTGGGCTCAATTACAGTTGTAAGTTGAGGACTTCCCAGTGGTGGGATTCAAATAGTTTAACAATCGGTTCTCTGCCCTAATGATTTCTTCCAACAACCAGTTCACTAAACTGCTCAGAAACTTAACAACCGGTTCTCTCGAAGTGGTGTGAACTGGCTGAATCCCACCACTGGGACTTCCTGTATGTGGATTTAAGCTTCCAGAATTCTCCAGCTGTCATGCTGGCTGGGGAATTCTGGGAGTTGAAGTCCACACACCTTAAAGTGGCTGAGGTTGAGGTATACTGGTTTTAGATCATCAGAAAAGATTGTGCTTCATGGAACTGCAGAGTGCAGAGAGAATTTAGTAGAACTGTGAGATAATTCTTTTCAATGCAGCTGGTTTTCTATCACTAGAGCTTTGCCTCTTGATCAGGTGTTTGGGACTTCTATTTTTTGTAATTAACAGGTCTTGTGGCCTGAAAATGTTTGAAAATTCTTAGTCTAGATTGCTCATCCCTCTTCATCATGGATCTGTATTGGGGAGGAAAAATGAATAATCTTAATTTATGGCATGCTAACTCCTATATATGGCATTTAGCCGCTGGATTCCAGTTAATTATACATACACAAAGTAGGGCCAGGTAGGGCAATTATTGTACGTGGAACAAAAGTTACTCACAAAAAAACTTAACCCTGCTACACCAGTGTTTCTCAACCTTGGCAACTTTTAAGATGTCTGGATTTCAACTCCCAGAATTTTCTAGTCAACATGATGGCTATAGAATTCTGGGAGCTGGTCCACAAGGCTTATATTTGCCAACTTGAGAAACCTTGGGCTAGACCATAAGAAGTTAAAACGTCAGGGTGGGGGGAGTGGTACTGCTTCAAAGGAGAGTTTCATTTTCACGGCTTTCATCTGTCTTTTGGTTGTTTGGGTTTCAAAGGACATTCTCTGCTCCTAGTGTCAGCCCGTTCTCCAGCATGGGTTTCTGTAGCATGCTTGCTATCTGCATGCCCCCACTTCTTGCCATAGAAACAGGGGAGTGAAGGGAATGGACATTTAGGAGGGGGAAGCAAACTGGCATATAAAAATCCCATGAGAACTGGAAGGGAGGTTTGTACTCATGATTTATGACAATGCTGAGTGGCGTTGTTTATACTCCGTCAAGGTCAACCATCTCCGAGACTCCAGATGCGAAAAAGATCTGAAGAGCTTTTCAATAACATCATACTGGACGCTGATTAGACTCTCAGTGCTGGACCCTAGGGGGAGGGTTTTGAATCAGATCTTGCTTTGCTTTCACTTTTATCATTTCAAACTTAGTAAAAAAAAATCCTCTTCTCTAATTCAATGGAGCCAGGGGTTTTCTTTCTTGAGTTTTGAACGGAGGCAGGCATGACACTAGTCTATTCACTCTATTCTTAACATAGAGGTCCACCGGAAACAATATATTAAGTCATAATATGCTTTGCTTTAGTGTTGCAGCCAGTGTGATTTGCAGATCGTAATTTATAGCTTAGCGTATTATGCAACCCAGCCAGTTGTGACTTATAGAATTATAGTATTCAGAAAGAATTGGGTGGTTCCAAACTCCACCCATTTAGCTAGCCTGTATAACAATGATTTATTGAACCAGTCAAAATGACACTTCACTCAAAAAGTTGCAGAGTACATTTTGACAAAGTGTGTTGACTTATCTGAGTTTAGAGTAAACACTGTTAAGATTTACAGTAAGGGGTTTGGGTACAATTTTGTAGGCAATCTCTTCTGCCTTAGCACATAATTGTTTTTCAGTCTTTAATGCCAGAGTTGTTCATAATCTGTTGTCTCAAGAATGTTATTGCTGTTTGTTTCCCATCCTAAGAATTGTGCCCTGAAATTTGAGGTTTAATAGGAAAAAAATGTTGCTCTCTGATAAGAGGTCATTTATCTCTTGCTACTGAGCAGCAGCAATGTTTCACCATTTTATGCCTTATAAATGCTTTGGGCTGCAATTGCTATATTGAACCAGCTAGTATCACAATAAAAAGAAGTCAAGATACAGCCTCAGTATAATGCAAATGATGTTTTCTGCCTTATGAATCGTTGCCTCAAGTGTTTAAAGGACAACTGGTGGGCAGCGCCCCATATTCACCACCTTTGACCAAAATTCAGGGAAATCACCTGCTTCAAATACAGTCAACTTCTTTCTCCCATCACAGTTCAGATCCCTGAGAACTCCTGTTATAAGGTTGCTACTTCAGTCTCTCTACACAGGGGTCTCCAAGCCCGGCAACTTTTAAAACTTGTGGACTTCAACTCCCATGCATGGCTGGCTGAGAAATTCTGGGAATTGAAGTCCCCAAGGCTTAAAAGTTGCCGGGCATGGAGACCCCTGTGTAGAGAGACTGAAGTAGCAACCTTATAACAGGAGTTCTCAGGGATCTGAAGTGTGATGGGAGAAAGAAGTTGACT